AACCAGTCTTGGAGTGCATTTTGGATGACGTACAAAGTTTTGGCCATGTATCCGACCTTGCGACCTGCGATGGCGCTTGCTCGTTTTGACATTAATTCGTGGGCCATATCCAAAGAGTTCACGACAATAAATGGCATTCCAGGAAGGTCCACGAAGATGAGATCCCCTAAAATCGAATGGATTCCCTCGTCAGGATAGGCAATAAAGAAAGTGATTGCGTACCGTATTCCTTCTGCCATGCACTAAAGACATGCCACCAGTTGTCCTTTGGAAACTGTCGTAAATTGCCGATAAGAGGGTCTCTTGGTGGCCCCGGCGGATAGACCCGCTTCTCCTTGGGACCAGAGAACGCTTTACTACACGCATACAACATAGAGACTGCAACGAAGCCGACACCGGCCAACTCAACGTAAGACGCATCTCTTAGTTTGTCTGCTAACTTTTCCATCGTCGTGGTGCTCAGCATGGTGAGGGATCAAGAGAAGTAAAAGGGCTCAAAAGGGGTGTTGCAACATGTAATTGAGGATGATCTGATTGGTTCGGTTATATAGAAGCCAGGAGTATCAAGATTGTGATCGAATTCGGCATCCTAGTCGGCTGAGTGGGTTGAACGGTTGAATAGGAAGATGGGTTGGGTCTAAGCCACCAAAGGCAGTCGCCCACCACCTATATTTTTAGAAATGTTGCTAGTGTTCATTTGTTGCTTAATGTTGTCGGGATTACTTGTAAGTTCTTTTTTGTTGTTGTTAGCTTTATATTGCATGTATCCATGCCATACATTTACTTTCGAACGTCTCGAGAAGGTCTATATTTCCAGAGCCTTGACACAAATCATTTATTATCTAATTGCTTGCCTCAAATAGAAATGAATATCGATCTAGAAACCCAACATTTGGCGGAAATCCGCCTGACTTTTGGGAGTACGATCGGTGACAGCTGCAGCAGGCGCACCAGGACCTGACGCAGAAGCTGGTTCGCGATCATTCATCTCTGCATCTTCATAACCAGCATCAGTGTCCATCTTCCTGGACTTCATCCCTATTCCAGCTCGAGACCCTCCTATTCCTACCTTACCCCCACCTCGTGCTCTTCCACCTCGATGCCCACGAGGAGTACCCATAACTACTTCAGGCGAGGATGGCGGTGAAGTGACTGATTCCGCTTGACGTTCTACTTGACGCGCGTGAGATAAACCGAAGGTTCCTCTCCCCCTTCCACGACCTCGGGTTGTGGCAGCAGAGGACCGGACTTCCTCACTTAGAGTCAAGGTCTGGTCATTGAATGTGATTGTTGGGTGTTCCAGTAAAAGTTTTCCTGCGACCTGCATATAAAATTACTATTCATTCTCAGTTTAAAGTCTGCCGAAGACTCACTGCCGCATTTTCGACTTCGAGGATAGCTTCATTCCGTTCAGGTATCAAATTCAATCGAACTACAGAAGTCACCTTTTCTAAAGCTTGCTGTAGAATAGGTTCTTGGGTACCGGAAGGGACACCTTTGATTCGTATCGAGCGGCTATTAGCCTCTTCCCTAGCTCCTGGCACATAGCTTATGGATATTTAGACCACAATAAAGACGACGAATAGCTAGTTGTTTACTTACCCAGGTCGGCTTGGACGGGAGTCAGCCATGATTACTGCCAATCGACGGCCTTTGAGCATGTGGTTGTTAAGCGCTAAAGCACCCTGTGCCGCCTCCTAAACATGACATCAGTTTCAGAGAAAAACCTTTGATAGATATATACTACCTCTGTTTCATATTCGACAAAGGCAGTCTGATTGTTACCAGCAGCAGGTAGCAGACGAATATCCTTCAGCTCGCCATGCTGTGGACCAGGTTTAAATATAAATCGAGGCGATATGAAAGGAGAACTAACTTCACCGAATAATTTCTCCAAATCCGCTTTAGTGACGCTCTTGACGATCCCAGTCACTCTCAGCTCTCGTGCACCAGCATCCGTCCGCTGTTTCTTTCGCGTGGGATCTGAGACCAGGACCGTCAACTTCATTCCCGCCTCCATTTCGAACCCGTTGAGGTATAGGGCTGCCTGAGCAGCTGCCTGGTAACATTCTGCATTAATATCTAGACGAGAGCAGCCATTCAGGACATACTACTGTAGTAAATTGGATGTAGCAATATCTCCTTGTATTCTTGATATATTTCGATGGCCATCGAATATCCAGAATGGTCCCGTACTATGCCACTCATTAGAATCAATAATCACCTTATCAATCATTCGCTCACCTTTTCGAACATACCCCGCATCTCGGCATCATCCATGCCATCACGAAAGTTTGTCACCCAAAGAGTGGTTTTCTCAGCAGGGTTCACCGTCACCTCCGCTCCGTGAATCCGCTTCTTATCCTTGGTTAGAGCACCCGGTATCGAGTCCTGTAGAATTTAGTTGGATTTATATCAGTAATAATATCCATTCAAATACTTAGTCAAAGGAAAGCTATAGATAGAATATCTACTCACATCTTTGAAAAGCTTCTTTACATCGTCCTGAACGGTTGACTGGGGCAGTTGAGAAACGAGAACACTCGTATTCTCTCGGTCCCTAGGCACTTTCTTCAGCCCGTATGCATTATAGGGGATACGATATTTACCTTTTAAGCTTGACAGGCTCCTTCGCATTGGCATTCGATTCGGGGTGCTCTAACCAAGGATAA